CCACAGTGAGCAAAAATATGCTCATGAGCATTTTAATGAGAAAAAAGCATAAAATGCCTCATCTCATCAATGAGCATAAGTTAAAATGCTCATGAATATTTTATAAAATGCTCATACTATAAGCAAAATTTTAGATGAATAGTACGAGTGGGCCAAGGTTGAAATTCATTAATCAAAAGATAATTAAATATAAATATGGTAATGTATAAGAGAGAGAAATAATGTTTGTGGGTATTGAAAAAGTTAGGAGAGAGAATGACGAGAAAAATTATTTTGATCATTGGTGAGATAAAATATGACCATCAAAAATGCTCATGAGGAAAATAACATTAGAGGAAATAGAAAGTGAGTAGAGAGCGAGTGAGTAGAGAGCGAATGAGGAAACAAAAAAAGGCCCTTTGAGCTTAAGCTGATGGTTGAGGCCCAGGAATGTGTTTTATACTCTATCACTCCCCCTCACATGAAAGGCCCTTTGAGCTTGAAATGTGGATGCAACACAAGTCCACCCATACCTGGTGCGAATTAATTCCATTTTAAAGGAGGGGCGGATGAGATTCGAACCCATGACCTTTGTGTCACCCTGGCTCTGATACCATGTTAAAGGACCAACTCAACCAAAAGCTTAAATTGATAGAGTATAAAACATATTCCTGATCCTCAACCATCAGCTTAAGTTTTTGGTTGAGTTGGTCCTCTAACATGGTATCACAGTTTAGGTGAGATCTTGGAATCATATACTGTAACACCCTAATAATTCTCTCTTTAAACCTATGAATACCCTGAACAAAATCCAAGAGAATTACTGGCATGCTACTGCCACGTGTTCAAATGTTAAGGCTTTATCAGAAAATAGCAGCGGAAAAACTAATTCAGTTATAAATAAGTTTCAAAACCGATAACCAAAACCAAATTAAATCATACAACTTGGAACCATTAAGGCCCTTATTAAAAACCCCACAAAAGTAGTAAATAAATAAACTAGAGTTTAATAAAATTCAAATTTATGAAAAGAAATAAACTGCAAATAATAACCAACTCTCCACTCAAAATCCCACAACCCTGATGCGAATGTTGCGTGTTTAAGAACCTGTTGTTAATCTGCTCCCCAATATTACAAGTGTAAAAATTGGATCGTCACAGGGTCATAGAAAGGAGAAGGTCATGACCAAAGAAAGACACACACAAAAACACGCAATCAGCAAAGCTGAGTACATACAAGCTGCGAAACAAATAAGAAATCCATAACATGCTACTAATAATCAATCATCACGTATCATTAGTTTATAGACTCGACACATGACTCAACTATTTACATTACTAAGACTCCATTAATTATTAATAGGTAAATCATTATTTTTATTCATTGGATTTAGCAATAGACAAGGTTGTCCAACCCATGCTCCATTTGGAACATCAATAAAAGAAAAACCCCATGCCTCCTTTCGGAAACATCAATAAACATCCAACGACCACGGGCGCGACTCCGTGACCGTAGTTAGTATGAGATCTCACCTAACTCCTAGTTTTAAAAAATTAATATTTGAAATAGGAGACTCGTAGATCAGACGGCCTCGATAAAAGTACACGGCTAATACCCCGTGTTCCCAAACCCCTCACTAGTAGAAAATACATAATGGCAAGCGGTTCAAGCCCCCTAATGGGAAGCGGTTCTGAATCGCATGCCCTTAGGGGGCTTGTCAATTGGTCTTTAAAATGGCAAGCGGTTCTGAACGGCATGCCCTTAGGGGGCTTGTCAATTGGTCTTTAAAATGGCAAGCGGTTCAGAACCGCTTGCCAATTGTAGTGAAAGGGCAGCGGTTTTGGCGCCAAACCGCTGCCCTAAAGGGGTATTAAAAAAAAAAATTGATTTTTTTCAATTAAATTGATACATAATCAAACCAAATGTAAAAACATTAATATTTTTATTAATTAATTGTTATAATATTATTTAATTTAAGCCACCAGCCACCACCCACAACAACATCAACGAAGGGGTGGGTTTGGAGTAGTTTACTATGGTTGCCTAAATGATGACACGGAAGTGGCTGTTAAAATGTTGTCTCAATCAATCTTCGCTTCTGAACAATTCACAACAGAGGTTTGATCAGAAAAATTAAGTTGGAAATTGAATATCTATGGACTATGGTCATGGCTGCCTTTTTTTCTTCCTAATTGATCTGCGTTCATTTTAACAACAGGTTGAACTCTTAATGGATATTCGTCATAAAAACTTGGTTTCTCTAATTGGATATTGTGAAGAAGAAACAACCTTAGCTCTAGTTTATGAATATATGGCTGGTGGAAACTTGCAGTCTAATCTCTCAGGTATATTGTATACCTTGCTAAATTTGTTGCATTAATTGTTATATAAGTCTTATAAATTTTGTGTTATGGGAAATTCATGGTGCTCTTCATTTTTTGTTTCCACCAGCTTCGAAGCCACTAAGTTGGAAATTGAGGCTCCAGATAGCATTAGATTCTGCACAAGGTCAGCAAGCAGTATCTGTAGTGTATAATTAAATTTTTGTTCGGAGATTATATTAAGCTATGTTTAATCATAACATAGTTTAAACATAATCTTAATTGTAGGACTGGAATACTTGCACAACGGTTGCAGCCCCCCTGTAGTCCACAGAGATGTGAAAACCCAAAATATCTTATTGGATAAAAATCTCCAGGCAAAGATAGCAGATTTTGGTATGTCCAAAATTTTCCCAGATGAACCAAGAACCCATGTATCAACAAGAGTGATCGGTACACCAGGTTATCTCGATCCTCAGTAAGCACATCCTAAAACCTAGCCCTTTATTATGCAATGTTTTTGGATATAAAAAATGCTAGACAAGATAAAACTTTCCTGGAATTTAAACTGATTGATCACATTTAACCGTTTGTGGCATTAGCAGTTCATTTATGTATAACTCATACTTGTTTATGTATAACTCATACTTGTTTATTGATTTAACATATTAAGCAGCTAATACCATTAAGAACATGAAACCAAATAGTGTATATGAAAAAATTAATGAATTTTGAAACCAAAGCATGCTAGGATTTATTGAGAGTGATGTATGTATAAATAGTATATTAACAATTCTCTTTGTTTAGGTATCATGAAACCCGGCAGTTGAAAGAGAAAAGTGATGTATACAGTTTTGGGGTGGTTCTATTGGAGTTAATCACAGGTAAAGAGGCAACGGTGAACATTCAAGAAAAAGTTATAACGTTGGTTCAATGGGTGATCCCCATTCTTGAAACGGGGGATTTGAGGGAAATATTGGATGAAAGATTGCAGGAAGTTCAGAACACGAATTCTGTTTGGAGGGTAATAGATATAGCTATGGCATGTGTGAAGCGAACTGCAATGGAAAGGCCTACAATGAGTCAGATTGCCACTGATTTAAAAGAGTGCTTAGCTATGGTGCTGAACACTGAACATGATACAACAGTTCCTGATGATTCAACAGAAATGCGCCTAATGACCGCGAACACAGAAATGGCTCCAGAAGTAAGATAACAATAAGAGTCACATGATTTGTTATTTGCTTAATTGCATTGCAGACATATTTCTTCCTATTTCAGCCGTGTTGCATAACTTTCATTGCTTTGTGTGAAACAGAATTAGTACGGAGTACTATTTTTGTTACCTTTACTTTTTGTGATGTGGAATCAGATTACAAAAATACATATGCTGGTTTTTTTTTCTTTGGTGGCTGTGCAGGCTTAATAGCTAATTAGATCTCCGCGATAGATTACTAAACGAGTGGCAAAGTCACGACAGTGGAAGCAGGAAGCTTTTCATTTTACCAGTCAATTTGCATTGATCCATAATACAATCCTCTGCATTCCCAATATGCACCACAGACCCTAAAGATGTCACAGTTATTAAGAGGTTTCGAAATATTCGAATGTTACCCTCTCTTAATGAAATGTTATATTTACACATATAGTACATCTCTGTCATTGAAAGCGTATGCCTGAAGGTTTTAGAAGCATCTAATAGTAAACCAACCATCTTAACAAACTAGACACAATTATGTGATCCATTCAAAATTTAAGCCTGAAAAACTTAAGCCTTGCAAAATTTAAACCTGTAAAACAACTGTCTCACGGAAATAAAATTTGCCGTTTTCAATAGACAACCCAAAGTCCCAAACAACTGTCTCACGGAAATCATCTCATTATTAGAACTCAAGAATCCTATCTCAAATTAATTTTTTTCTTAATGAAAATAAAAAATCCTATTTATACATATTACACAACTTATATGACATGTAGACTCATTTTGTTTAGGTATCATATTGCACAACAGCTGAATGAGAAAAAGTTATTTGTACAGTTTGATTTGGGGTAGTCGTGTTGGAGTTAAACACAGACTAAACAGCAATCATTGAAAAAGATGATGAGCAAACTAGTTTGGTTAGGTGGGTTAATCCATTACTTGAAAGAGGGGATAAAATTGGAGCATCGTCGACAAAAGACTGCAACATGTGCTAAGCTGACTGCTGTAGAAAGACCAACAATGAGTCACATTGTTACAGAATTGAATGAAACTCAATAATAGAATCTGATAATAGTTCAATTGAGCTGAGCCCGGCTATTACTTACACAGCAAAATTTGCGAATCTTGAATCCTAAAACTAATAGTCAAAATTTGCGAATCTTGAAGGTCACCATTTAAATTGCCCATTAATAAAAATGAATACCTTCAAATTTTGGGTTATTTAAAATTGATCCAAAGTTGAAATTATTTAAAACAAAACTGACCAAATTTGAGATTACTAAAACTAATTTTTTTTTTTTTCTTTTTTAATTAAAGACACCTAAAATAAAATAGAGGTATTATTGTTTTGGGAAGGACGACTGGACGAGTAGTACAACTTTTCTGCTAAATTTAGTCGTACCAAAAACAATAATTATTTTGGTTCAAGTTGGTCAAGTTGCATGCAAATTGGTGTGACCTACAGCAACATAAAACAAAGAATTCACAGGTTGTATCTTGGGCCATTCTAGTCCTTGAAAATTTACTCATTGACTCAAGGGATGACTTCACTTCCGCCAGTTTATGAATGTTAAGCCCATTCCCAAATTCTTTAACATATCGATTTTACAAGTTCATCAGCTCTTATACAATGCTGAAACTCAATACTTGTATCATACGTTTGGTTCTATTTCTTGGCACCACCGCGACCACTGTCATCGCCGCTACCAAACCACATGGCATTCATCACTATCGGCATCAAAGGAGGCACCTTACAGATGCACGGGACGTAACTGGTAACTCATTTTTTTTTTACTTCTTAATCTTATATACAACGGAGTACTCCCTCCGTCTCATTATTAAGGACTAGGCATGGGTTCTTAATGTCCCAAACTAAGTTTTTGTTTCTAAATAAAAAATTATAATGCATTTTCCATATAAATCATCCCAATATTTATCTAAATTTCATGTCATTAAATATTTTGTTTTTTACGCCTTTACCGTACATAACACCTATTAAAGGCATGTTTTGTTTACTTTATTTTCACTTATTTCAGGTTTAATAAGTTGAGTTAAGATAAATAAGTTCTGATAATAGTTACCTAAGTTCAAATTACAACTAAAATAAGTTTCAATAAGTTTAGATTAATGAAAATTATTAGGTTAGTAAAACACACCATAAATCTTTATTACAAGTATAAAAAAAAATTTTAAAAATAATAATTATTAAATATTACACATTTCATTTAATCACATTATTCTTAGCTATCGTACAATATTGCAAATCTTTAATTGCAAATATGTTTAAGTTCACATTAGCAAAAATTATATAAAATAGATACGGAGTATTAATAATATACTCATCCACACAAATTAAACTAGAGCTCATTGTATTTTTTTTTTTTTTTTGGGCCTAAAAATAACTACATTTATTGTTATACGGAGTACATAGAGATAAATTTAGAAGACCCCCTCTAATGTTTAACCGTCAAAAGATTCTACATGACTAGATGGACTATTATTTATTTTACTTTACCTTTCACAGACTAACATATAGACAAGGGCGGAGCCACAGCGGGGCTGGTGGAGGCCCGACCCCTGTGGCCCAAATGTCTGCCCTTATATTGTAAAGGCTGGCACCCACAGTTTCATAGGATAAAAGCAATTAGTTTTGTAATAATTCAAGCTTCCAATGCATAGCTTAGTGGTTGAAGTATACTGTGGCAAGTTAATGCACACAGCTAGTCCCATGTTTGATTCCTCTAAGCAATTATTTAAAAAAAAAATCATTTTCTTTTTATTTTCCCTATTTACTTTTCTTAAAAAATTATTCTACTATTTATTTTTATTTTCTTGGTACAAATGAACCATAAGACTACAAGAGTGATACAAATATCAAGCGTTAGGACAGAGGAGGAAATGAAACTTATACCCCTATATAGACGTACACAAACCCTTCGCCTCAAGTAATAAGGCAAAACCTCATTGGTCCTGTAGTATTGTAAATTATTTTGACAAAATATTTTGTGTTGTTTTATCAAAAATTCAATTTAATCTAATATATAAAATCGCAAATACTACAAAAGAAAAAATTATACGATGAGAAAATCATAGAAAACATACAGCTTTACTTAATAAGACTCGGCCCCCCTATATTGTAATTATTAATTGATGGATTGATTGATGGATGGATTGATGATTGCATCATAGTAATCTTTTCTATAACTATATTATAGGAATAAAAAAAATATTACTATGATGCAATCATCAATCCATCCATCAATCAATCATAATAAGGAAAATTTGTAATTATTAATCCCAACTTTCGCCCATTTACTTTCATTAATCTCAACTATCGATTATTATTGAATAATCCCAATTTTGAGGGGCATTTTCTTTTATCAGGTCAAATGACCAGTGACTTGTTTAAAAGGTAACTTTTTTTTTATTTTTTTCTTACATGTCACATGTCGCAATTTCATTAGTTAAGTTTTTTTTAAAAAAATTTAAAACCAAAAAAAATTTAAAAACCAAACCCACCAGCACCATAGCCCCACCACCTCCTTCCTTAACACCACCCCACCATCTCCTTCCCCAACCCCACTGAAAACCACCGCAACCTCACCCCCCGTCGCCGACAACAACCCCCAAGCCACCATTTTCACCCCTCGTCGCCGAAAACAACCCCCAAGCACCGCAACTCCTCCTAGACGTATCTCCACCCTTTACCCCGATCTCCCTCATCCACTCACAAAAACCACCAATCTCCCTCCCCCACTCACGAAAACCCTAACAACATGGTGAGGAAGGGGCGTTTGGTGGTTTTCGTGAGTGAGGGAGGGAAGTCAGGGTTTTGGGGGTCGAGGCTCGTGGGGGGACGGTGGTTTCAACGGTCACGGTTGCGCGGCTGGTGATGTTGGGGGTCAGGATTCGCGTGGTTGTTGATTTTGGGGGTCGATGAGGTTCGCGTGAAATGGTTGTTTTAGAGGTCCGGTTGTTGGCTGGTGAATTTGGGGGTCTGGATTTGTGCTGCTAGTGGTAATGGGGGCCGAGGTTCACGTGAACCAGTTGTTTTAGGTGTCGTGGTGGTGTGGCTGGAGGTTTTGGGGGTCGAGGTTCGCCGATCGGTTGATTTTGGTGACCCAAAGGCAGTGGTCGACGAGGTTAGGTGATAGGTTGTCGTACACCTGTCAAAAATAAATTCCTAACAAAACCAACTAACATTGTAGTAGGGTAAGTAGGGTCAAATCCACAGAGAGATGGTTATTCAATTTAACTTCTAAGGTATGGAGAAACTAAACTATGTCACGAAATTGGGATAGAAAAATAGTCTAAATTAAAATAGAAATAAAATAATTAATAAAAAGACCTAGGGTTATGGTTCACCATGTTTATAGTTCTAAATCTGTCAAATATCAATAACAATTCAATCAATCAATCATCTAGAGCAATTGCTAAGCCTACGGTCGGGTCTTAACGCTCTCAATTCAACATATGCAGTACGGTCGCTAACATAATCAAAATTGCTAATTGTAGGGAAGCCTCTAAAAGTAAGATCTTTTGATTCAAACTCTTATTAACAATAATTAATCAAACAATTGATCAGTTTACAAGATTAACAATAAAACACTATCAATTAGAGAAATGAATAATCAAAATATTAAAATTATCAATCAAGATTCATAATATAAACATGGATTCCCAAACCCTAGAAATAAACTACTCAAACATGAAAGAAATAATTAAAACTAGATCTAAGGAATAAAACATAATTAAAAATAAGAGATATAAATAAAATACCTCAATGAATTAAAATAATAAACCCAAGAATCATCCATGGAAGAATCCATTGAGATGCCATGAGAAACTAGGGTTCAAAAGAGAAAACTCAAAAGAACGTAAAATAATAAAAGATATAAAAGGCATAAGGGAAAAATAATATTCCTTGGAGTATTTATATTATCCTAAAACTAATCTAAAGATAAATAAAGAAAAAAAAATAAGAAAATAAAAAATACATAAGCTACATTACTATTGGACCATAGATGATGACGTGGCACGAAGATGATCGATGCAAAAGGGACGAGTGAAGACGTGACAGCGACAAAGCCTCGTGGCTGCTGTTCACTCGCCAAAACCTGCGGGCGCAGGTCAGCCCCACGCCTTGGCAGTAGCTACGGAGCCTCGATTGGGCGCGGGTTATGGTCGCAGGCTACCTAGCTCGGATTAAAATGGGCCATAACTTCTGTTATAGGAGGCTTCTCGGATCATGTGACCTATCATTGGAAAGCTCTTTAAGTCTAGTTTCAAACGCAATTTGAATCGCATCAATCCAATCTGTAGAACTCAAGTTATGATCAAAAGAGTGGACAAAGGTCAGTTTTGCCACTTTGTAAAATATCGTTTAACTTCGTTTCTAACTCAAATTCAATTCCGAAAAGTGCATAACAACCCTTGTGGATTCTATATTCATTCCTCATGCATATAAATATCAAAATCAACATTCACGAACATGGTATCTACAATTAATAAGCTCGATTCGTCGGCTTCCATCTAAATATCATCCGAATCAACTCCAAACACTTCGAAAGCGTCCAAATGACTATAAAATCACCTGAAACATCAAGACAAACACAAACGGAACGTAATAGAGCACAAAACAAACAAATTATGCATTTGCGTCCTAAAAAGCAACAAAAGACCTAAATAGCTACTATAAACTTAGCATAAATATGCCTATAAACTCTATATAAATATGACTCATCATTAGGGGTGGGGGTTTAGGTTTCACGGCGGTAAAGGAGTGGCTGGGATGTCAGGGTGGGGTTGGGGTATGGTGGTCCGGTGAACGGAAGGGAGAGGTTGGGGTTTTTGTTTTTTTTTTTCAATTTTTGTAATTTTTTTTTTTACCAATCAGGGCTTGACACATGTCAAGTTACCTGTTATAATAGGTCATTGACTTTTATCGACCAGTCATGACCTAATAAAAGAAAATGCCCCCCAAAGTTGGGATTATTCAATAATAATCAAAAGTTGGGATCAATGAAAGTAAATGGGCGAAAGTTTGGATTAATAATTACAAATTTTCCTAATAATAATAATAATAATAATTTATATACTAAAAGACACGCCGACAATGGCACGTGTCATCTCCTGGTGCGTTAACAAACAAATCTTTACATGTATAATACTGTAATAATTACTTATGGTGTGTGATAGAAGATTTGATTTATCAAATCCTTTGAAAAAAAACATATTAACAAGTATAAATGTAAACAATAAAATTAAAAAAAAAATCGTAATATAATTTTTAACACTACACACACACATATATATATATATAATACTGTAATAATTACTTATGGTGTGTAATAGAAATCCGTTGATTTTGATTTGTTCAATGTCGTAGTGAAAATGTATACTTTCCACCCTTGAAATTGAAGGTGAAAGAGGAGAGAGAAAATAGCAAAAGGTTGAAGGAGGGGAGAGAAAATAAAAAAAATAAAAAAAATAAAAAAAAAGGCAAAAGGTTGAAGGAGGAGAGAGAAAACAATAGTTAACCAAAGTTATATGTAATTTTCATATACACCCCTTGATAAACTTGAAATTTTTATTAAGGTTATAAACTTGTATTTTCTCAAAAAAATAAAAAAAAATAAAATAAAAACCTTAAATTCTTATAAAAACATAGTTATAGAAAAGAAATAAGAAAATAAAAAAGTACATCAGTTAGCGATTGACTAACGGCCGGTGAAGACAAAGCGACTAATGAACCAACAGGCAAGATATACACATCTAACGGGCTATAGGTATATCGAACTGCGGGCGCGGCAAATTCGTTGCTTGATGATTTCTTAAAGATGCCTAGGAGATCGAAACAGCTCAACATGCGAGCGCAACTTCAAAACACAGATTGCTTGACTCGTCGATGTCAAGCCTTGTTTACTAGATCATTGCCTTCAAAACTCAATTCAGTCCAAGGCATCTAAGCTTGCAATCCGAGAACTGATTGCAAACCGCTAGTTTCTTCAATCAAACATGTCGTTTACAATACAAATCAACCTTCGGTTATCCGAGTCAACTTCAAACACTTCGAAAGCGTCCAAATGACTATCAAATCCTTAAAAGACAGAAACATCAAGAAAACAACAAACGAAACGTCATAGAGCGCAATAACAAAACTTATACAAATGCGACCTTTAAAACAACTAAATTAATTAAAAAGTGGTTATAAAAGTAGCATAAAAGCGACCAAGAATCCTATATAGATATAATTCATTGACTTCTCTTCACTTGATTCTCATTATTATCACATATTTGGAATTTTAAGTACTTCTCTTCACTATGATTCTCATAATCACCACATACTATTTTAACCCATTCTTGTCATAGTGGTTTTCCCTTCTCTTATTACTCATAAAACGAAACATGACTTGTAATGCATGGCTCAGTACCCCACTCTCTCTCTCTCTCTTTCTTGATCAACCTAACATGTCTCTCTCTCTCTCTTGATTGACCTATCATGTCTCTGATACCAGGTTGAAATTAAAATAGAGATGAGAGAGGGGAAAAAAACCAAACTTGTATTCAATTCATTGAAAAGAAATTGCATAGCTACATCATGTGTATATATATAGCGCAAAATTAATTAAGTTAAAAGTAAGGAACATGATACCATAAACATTATTATATTATGCGTGTCTAAACCCATATTACTATACATTAGTTTATAACTAACCACTAACATTGTAGCAAATATTCATCAAATCTACCGACTACTTTTAACTTTTTGTGGTGAATGGTAACAGGATTCATAAGCATTGATTGTGGGACAAATGCAAGCTACACTGATAGTTCTACAGCATTATATTACACAACCGATGAACAATATATTGACAGTGGCATTAATATGGACATTCTTCCAGAACACAAAATAGAAAACTTACAGCAGCAACTCACAAATGTCAGAAGTTTTCCTGAGGGAACCAAGAACTGCTACACTCTGAAACCATCTCAAGGGAAAGGCAGAAACTATTTGATCAGAGCTTATTTTTTGTATGGAAACTACGATTCCCTGAATAAACCTCCAACATTTGATCTTCTCCTTGGGGTTGACGTTTGGAGCACTGTGAAATTAGATAATTCATCTCACTATGTGTGGAAAGAAATCATACACACACCATCCACGGATTACTTGTATGTCTGTGTCGCGAATACAGATTCAGGAACACCTTTTATATCAGGATTAGAGCTAAGGCTTCTACCTGACTCCATCTATAAACAGGACTCTGGCTCGCTTGATCTTCTGTGTCGAAATTATGTCACAAATTTGTTGAACTTTAATGTAATAAGGTAAATTCAGCATAGCATATGGGTTTCTTAATTATACAGTATATATGTACTTTTGACTATTAATTGTAATATATAAATTGCATCAAAAATGGATGATAGTCAGTTTAAACTAATACAAAGTAGAGTTATATGTGATGATCCAAATTGATTTTGGAACTAACCTTGCTTTGTTTCAGATACAAGGATGATGTCTATGACCGCATTTGGAAACCTGGATACCCAACTTCACAGGCCAGCTTCATTGAAACCATGTCTGAAGTTGGCCCGGGCGGCTATTTATTGCCATCATCAGTTATGAAAGTAGCCGTTGTACCAAAGATTCTTAATCAACCTATAAGATTATACTACAACCAAGAAAGTGATAGAAGCACAGGATTTTACTTCTTCCTCCATGTTGCTGAGATTTCAGAACTTCCTAAAGGTGAAGTCAGGGAACTTTCTATCACTTTAAATGGCGTAAAAAAAACCCAAGATTTATACACTGCCTTACCTACAAACTAAAACCATTTCCAATGACCAGAAACCAATTACTGACTCCTTTCTTAATATTACCATCCAAAGTACCAATAATTCTACCCTTCCTCCAATACTGAATGCCATTGAAGTGTTTAACGTCATACAAATTTCAGAACTATCCACTGATGTAGCAGATGGTAAATTTTTTTCTACATAATCTATAATTATTGCCGAATGATTAGTGAATGTTTGTCTTTTGATATGAGGTCAATTGGTTACACTTGTATTAGTTCATGCTCTCAACCAAATCAAGTCATTTTATAAGCGGATGACCGATTGGCAAGGAGATCCTTGCTTTCCAAAGAGGTACTCATGGGCTGGTGTGGTCTGCAACTATGACAGTTCCAATATCATCAGAATAACATCAGTGTAAGATTTGAAGCTAGCTAGCTGAGAACTTATGATCGTACTTCTTGTTTTAGTTATTCGTATTGTTCATTTGGTAATTAACGAGCTCTGAAGTTAATCCGTTTAATTTTGTGATCAGGAATCTTAGTTCAAAAGGACTTACAGGACATATTGCAGCGTCATTTGCAGACCTTACATCATTACAAATCTTGTATGTTTTTGAAGACAGTGTTTTGATTTGAAATCTGCATGATTTCAGTCATTCCAAGATTCTTACATGTGGATAATATCATTAATTTCAGGGATTTATCAGACAACAACCTCAGTGGGCTGATACCTGAGCTTCTCGCAGACTTGCCAATGTTAAAAACCTTGTATGTTTACTTTTTATTCGATCTCTCAGCTCCCTTCGTCTGAAATTAGTTGTGACTATGATGGCGTAATTGACAGCTAAATTCAGATAGGGGTACACTATATGTTCAAAGTATGTGAAAGTACTAAGACAATCACTGTTTGCAGAAACCTTTCAAAAAATAACTTCACTGGTTCAGTTCCTGAACTTCTGCTAGAAAAATCTGCAGCAGGGGCTCTGTCTTTAAGGTATTTATAGCTTTCTCTCTTTAAAAATTCCCCTTCCCATAAGCATATATATCTGACTTGTTCATGTTGTTTTGGCCAAAGTGTGGAAAACATTTCAGGTCTATGTTCGAGCAGATCCTGTACTTCGAAGAAAAAAAGTAAAGCATACCTAGCTTATATAGCAGCAATTTCTGCACTATTGGTTCTTCTTGTGGCAGGTTTCATCATTTTTTGTATATACAAAAGACATACTGCTAGGTACAATTCCACATATGTTATGTTACCTATTTTCAGTATATTGCTCAATGATGATGTAATTTAAATCATGATACTCTTCGGATTATTTAGTTCATGACTGAACTTTTACTCACAGACTGTATGAAAGATCTAGAAATGGCAAAAGGAAGGGTGAATTCACACGGTTTTCTAATTCCGAGTTAACAAGCATAACCAAGAACCGCCGGAGAGAGCTAGGAAAGGGTGGGTTTGGAGTAGTTTACTATGGTCGCCTAAATGATGGCACGGAAGTGGCTGTTAAAATTTTGTCTCAATCAATCCACGCTTCTGACCAATTCACAACAGAGGTTTGATCAAGTTGGATATTCAATATATATGTTTTTTCTTCCTAATTGATCTGCGTTCATTTTAACAACAGGTTGAACTCTTAATGGATATTCGTCATAAAAACTTGGTTTCTCTAATTGGATATTGTGAAGAAGAAACAACCTTAGCTCTAGTTTATGAATATATGGCTGGTGGAAACTTGCAGTCTAATCTCTCAGGTATATTGTATACCTTGCTAAATTTGTTGCATTAATTGTTATATAAGTCTTATAAATTTTGTGTTATGGGAAATTCATGGTGCTCTTCATTTTTTGTTTCCACCAGCTTCGAAGCCACTAAGTTGGAAATTGAGGCTCCAGATAGCATTAGATTCTGCACAAGGTCAGCAAGCAGTATCTGTAGTGTATAATTAAATTTTTGTTCGGAGATTATATTAAGCTATGTTTAATCATAACATAGTTTAAACATAATCTTAATTGTAGGACTGGAATACTTGCACAACGGTTGCAGCCCCCCTGTAGTCCACAGAGATGTGAAAACCCAAAATATCTTATTGGATAAAAATCTCCAGGCAAAGATAGCAGATTTTGGTATGTCCAAAATTTTCCCAGATGAACCAAGAACCCATGTATCAACAAGAGTGATCGGTACACCAGGTTATCTCGATCCTCAGTAAGCACATCCTAAAACCTAGCCCTTTATTATGCAATGTTTTTGGATATAAAAAATGCTAGACAAGATAAAACTTTCCTGGAATTTAAACTGATTGATCACATTTAACCGTTTGTGGCATTAGCAGTTCATTTATGTATAACTCATACTTGTTTATGTATAACTCATACTTGTTTATTGATTTAACATATTAAGCAGCTAATACCATTAAGAACATGAAACCAAATAGTGTATATGAAAAAATTAATGAATTTTGAAACCAAAGCATGCTAGGATTTATTGAGAGTGATGTATGTATAAATAGTATATTAACAATTCTCTTTGTTTAGGTATCATGAAACCCGGCAGTTGAAAGAGAAAAGTGATGTATACAGTTTTGGGGTGGTTCTATTGGAGTTAATCACAGGTAAAGAGGCAACGGTGAACATTCAAGAAAAAGTTATAACGTTGGTTCAATGGGTGATCCCCATTCTTGAAACGGGGGATTTGAGGGAAATATTGGATGAAAGATTGCAGGAAGTTCAGAACACGAATTCTGTTTGGAGGGTAATAGATATAGCTATGGCATGTGTGAAGCGAACTGCAATGGAAAGGCCTACAATGAGTCAGATTGTCACTGATTTGAAAGAGTGCTTAGCTATGGTGCTGAACACTGAACATGATACAACAGTTCCTGATGATTCAACAGAAAGCCTAGTGACCGCGAACACTGAACTTGATACAACAGTTCATGATGATTCGACAGAAAGCCTAGTGACCACGAACACAGAAATGGCTCCGGAAGTAAGATAACAATATGAGCCACATAATTTGTTATTTGCTTAATTGCATTGCTGACATTTGCTTTTCTACTTTGGCTTTGCTGCATTCTATGCATGCATTTACAAACTATTAAGTCTGATTGTAACTTCCATCCTTTGTGTGAAACACAATTAGTACGTCTCTTTCTCATTTAAGTGTATACCTGAAGGTTTTTTACAAGCATCTAGTAGTAAAACAACTATCTCAAAAACCTAGACAAAATTATGTGATCCATTCCCAATTACACCTGCAAAACTTTCAAAAGAAACAGTTGTGGGTATTCCCAGGCCTCAAGGAAAGCAGATTTCGGTTTGTCCAAAAATTTTCTTGATGAAATAGATCCTATGTATCAACAAGAGTCATTGGCACAACGGAATTGAATGCATTTTACCAACCTATATGACATGTAGGCGAATTTTGTTTAGGTATCATATTGCACAACAGCTGAATGAGAAAAGCGATTTATACAGTTTTGTGGTTGTCGTCTTGGAGTTAAACACAGGCTAAACAGCAATCATGAAAAAAGATGATGAGCAAACTAGTTTAATTAGATGGGTTAGTCCATTACTTGAAAGAGGTGACATTTGGAACATCGTCGACAAAAGGCTGCAAGAATTGCACAAAACCAATCATCTTTGAAGAGTCACAAGCATAGCTCTGGCATGTGTTACGCAAACTGCAGTTGAAAGGCCAATAAGTCACATTGTTACAGAACTGAAAGAGTGCTTAGAAATGGAACTGAATGGAATAAACTGAATAATAGAATCTGATAATAATTCAATCGAGATGAACCCGGCTATTACTTACACAGCAGCAATGGCTCCTGCAGGGCGTTAACATAGCCCAAGTGAGGTTCCATCCTAAAACCAATCATCGGAATTATAAGTTAATTTTTTTAACTTTATATTTCAATGTGTGACACTACTCACACTTGTACCCAACAGGTTGCATAAATTGTATAATTTTCCAGTTTGTTTTGACTTAATTTTGCTTTGTCCTTCAAATGATAATGTTTATGGTATATAAATGATAATTTTGCTTTGACCTAATTATTCATTGAACAAGAAATTATGCAATAATATATTTATTGGAGAAAAAAGATCCACAATTTCACTAAAAAGAATTGAATTAATCAGCCCAATGAGTACATCAAATTTCACCTAACAAAAGAATGAACCAAGAACAACCTAAAAGAATTTCTACTTAAACAAACAACCAAAAATCAACATAATAAATTAAGCATATAAACAAACACCCTATATCAATCCTTAAATTTCTCAAGCAGAACAACTCTTCTGATTGTTGTATCGATAAAAGGCGCGCTTCTTCTTCTTGGAATTGTTCTTAACAGTGAGCACAACCTTCCCAGGCTCATTGTTTCTGAATGAATTTCGAACCGGCTCTTCGATCGAATCCATCTTCTTCTCCTTCTGGATTATAATAGTGTAAGACCCTTCATCTGTTGGAATAAATTCCTCCTTGTAACTCACTTCTCCTCCCAAAACAGCCAAGTCCCATATCAATGTTGCACCAGCCTGTTACAGGAATAAAAAATACCAATGTCAGACCAAAATAATGACAGCAAATCAGTAAAAATGTAAAATTAAGAAAATAGGAACTTTTTTTTTTCTCATACTTGTTCTGCTGGGATTTCAACTGTTTCTGTTGATCCGGATTTCAAGAAAATTTCTGTGACTACACCCTCTTCCGAGTTGAATTCAATATCATTTTCGCGGTTGAAGCCACCGTACTGAATTGGAATTTCATCAAATGGGATGTACCTAAAAACAAACAATTATGTTAAGAATCTTGTAAAATTTGTGACAAATCAAGAAAACTATTTGACAAAAAAATTAAAGTTGACTCACTTGAGAAGAGTCTCAGTAACTTTAGCTGGCCTAGCAACAACAAACTTGCTCTTACTTCTTTGAGTCAAGAAAGGTGAAATAAGGGAGTAAAAAGCATAGTACCAAAATGGCACATTAATAAATACCTGTCACATAAAATAAACCATATAACATTAGCAAAAATTAGACCATATAATCCTACATCAAAACGATGCAGTATATAAATTAACAAATTACACGAAACTATTAAGACTCACATTTCTAGCAACCAATTCAGGGTAATTATCCTGAAGAAGTCCAACAGCCTTAGAAGTAGCACTTCTAATTTCCTTCTTAAAAGGACCAGGACAATTCTTAAGATCATAAACTTGAAGAATTGATGTAACACCTCCTGGCCTAAAATCGAGCTTTTCGATACCTTTCTCCATAAACTGAATCCTCCACCTTAAAAACTGCTCACTCTTTTCCTCACTCCCAAACGTCTTCTGATACAACTCTTGATTACCAAACACCCCAAAAATATTGTAACAAACCGGGTGATTTTCGCGGTCTTTACCATTCATATAAGCCGCATTTGCAAGATCCTCCCCTAAATCCTCCCCTAAAATGGATTGAATCTTGAAATCTTTCCTCCAAACAAGGGTTTTCTTGATCATTTCAAATGCATCATTAACTTTAAATTCTCTAGCCCTTAAAAATTTCAACAAAATTACATCAGTACCTTCTGAGCCTTTACTAGGCAATAAAGGTACACCCCAAATGGAAATATTGCCCTCGTAATCTCCTTCGATCTTTTCCTCTCCTTCCTCTTGTTTGCTCGATTCCTCGGCCGGGTTATCGGCTTTCTTCTCCTCTGATTTAAATAAGGTATTGGATGAAATGGCTTCTTCGAGTTTTGATTTGAGGTCGGATAAGGCCTTCCTTTCGCCGTCTTTAAGGTCGGAGAGGTAATTACTCTCCTCCCTATAAGATGAACTCTTTTCAACCAAATTTGGCTTAGGAGTATCCTCTACATTTTGGGTATTTTCCTCAATTTTTTGGGGTTCTTCTAAATTGACTAATTTAGCATCTTTTTCAGAAATTAAAACCTTTTCTTTCTGGGTTTCTTCAACTGATGAAACCTCAACAGTCATATTAAAATTTGAAGAACTAATCTTATAAATTTGAAGGGTAAAATTTGATGAAAATGAAGGGAATCAAAAACCCAGATGAATTTGTTGGGTGTTTTTGGAGAAAAATGAAGGGTTTTGAGTTGGAGGAAACAGGGGAATGGAGGATGTAACGGTTATATAATTTGAAAACGGTACAATTTTAGTGGTCCCTTAATTCAAACGGTTACTTAAGGTGGGTCCATGAAAAGAGGAGTAGTTGATAAAATAAGAGGATTCCTTTGCCTAGGGCTTGGTTGGCTAGGCTGGAGGACAGCCTTCTTTTGGGTCCACAAACTCCACATGATTTGTGTTTGTCTCATAAGTTTAAGGAACCAAAACGGTAAACACAAGCTTTGTTCCCTCTTCTCTGTCAAAAAATGAAAAAACTACTCCTCTAATTAATGTACCTTGTATAGTGTTAAAAACTGACCTAATTGACCTGATTTACTCCGACTCGAAAAATATTCGATTTAGATTTTAATTAATATGAACATAATAATACCGCATAATTATATTTTAAGATAAATTCGAACGGATCCGATTTTCATCAAATCTGACCAAAATACCTGGATTGACATCTTTACCCAATTACTGTAATCTCAGTTCAAGAACATTAAAAGTGAATCAGTCAAACTTGATTCGTTGTTCATCAAAAATACTTCTTAAATTGTTTTTTTTTTTCTTTTTTCTTTAGATGGGAAGTTATAATATCCTTAAAATTTACTTCGTATGAATTTGTAAATATAAAGTTGCAAAATTGAACATATTTTACGATTAAAAAGTGCATTGAAAAGAGCAAAAGAAAACAAGTACTCCATAGATTAAAAAAAGGTAATGTTATATGTAGCTTTAAGAGTATCATGACATAAACAAATACTCCATAAATTAAAAATAAGCATTTAGGGCCCGTTCTCTTACGTTGAAATTCAGTCCAGTTCAGCTCAGCTCAGCTTAGTTCAATTCAGTTCAGTTCAGTTCCGCTCCTAATTTCCTTCTCTTATAAAATATTCATTTCAATTCAATTCAATTCAGTTCAGTTCAGTTCAGTTCAGCTCTGCTCAGTTCAGTTCAGTTCAGTTCAGCTGAGTTCAGTCAATGAGAACAGGCCGTAACTCTTGAAAGTTGTAAAATTAATAATTCATAACAAAAACACGCGTAAATCAGTTTACTTAGTGTTCATATTTTTATGATTTCCTAACTTTGCACGATTCATTATCTCACTTTGATATTAATTCACACTGTTTCTTTATTTTAAGATATACTTTGTATAAATTTATTTTTGAGACGAGTGGAAAAAAAAAAAAAAAAAAAACATATTTTAAAAGTTTTTGTAACGTAAGCTCGAAGGATAATAAAAAGGAATTCACACCTTTAAAGCGTCTTTAATCGAAATTGAACATTCATTCCTTACCACTAGACCAACACTTTTATTGGTACATAAATTTACTTACTGGGAGTTAAAGAACAATGATTAAACATATACATTGTATTTGCAAACAAGATAGATGAATTAGATCAATTTAAAAATAATAATAAAAAAAATATATAATATTGTTGTATAGATTGGGAGTTTTGGCACATTGCCTACAGTCTACAGTCTACAGAGATGATTGGCATTTAAGCCGCTAGAATATAATCCATGCCTAAATCACTAACAACAACTTGGATATCTTGGTTGGATCATACCATGTGCTCCTATACTACTATTGATAGATACAACTATATGATGATGATTTGTCATATTCCTCAATGGTAGAGATCAATTGTTTTTTTTGTTAAATTTAATGGTTGTCATTAACTTAGAGCAATAAACTAGTAATTGTATAATTACTACCTCTAGTTCTTATTACTCGCAACAAAGGAATATTTCATGCATCACAAATAATACTCCTTTGTTGTAAGTAATAAGAACCGAAGGTAGTATTTTAATAGTTTAATAATATTGATATTCGTAAGGCGTAAGGTCACGTATATCATTAACCATATATTTATGGTGTACTTAATTTACTGAAAACCATCCATAATTATTACAAAGTTGTACTGGTCCAAATAAAAACTGGTACACCGGATAAAATTGAATACTACTCTAGTTAGCATGAATAAAATTTGAAGCTATCTTCAGTATTTGACCAGGATTGGAAAAACAGGACAGCGAAATGCCGGTATGCAAGTTGCAGATATGATATCTCAGCATATCTGACAGTCTGACATGGTCTATTGACTAGCAGCTCTCAAGTCCAAGAATATCTTACTACTATGGCTCCATTATGCTCATGCTATGTACACTGTTCATCTACTTACATCTGATTTGATCTAACCAGGTTTAATATAATTAATTAATCAAATATTAACCTTAACTGTACAATTCTACTCTAATGCTTAAGGAAAAAAAAAAATGTTTGGTGTCCATAAACTGAATCCTCCACCTTCAAAGTATTTAGGTCTACTTTTCCAAATACTTGTATACAATTACTTTATTACAATGAATGATAAATACAAAATAAAACAGATTAAAAAAAATAATACAGAGTATGATCTAAGCTTAATTTGAAATGATCAAGAGATTAACTATGAAATAAACAAACATTTTCTGAAATAAGTTGAATTATACATTTCCTTAATTGCTTTAACTTAAATAAATTGAACTGTTATAGCTAAACTTGTTTTCCCCGAACATAAGTTAGAAACATAGTTTATAAATTTCTTAAAAATTATTCTCATAATAGGATAGGGATAGATTATTTACCTAAAATTTTTTTAGGTATTTTGTTTGCACTTGCATAAATCTATTTTATCTGAATTCAGTCAAAATAGGTGATAATAAGTTAATTTAAATGGATCCTAACACCAGACCAAAAGTTATACAAACCACATTTCCTCACCAATGGAATAAATAATATTTGCATTAATGGTAGCAAGAAAAATGAGGTCATATACATGACAACAAGATGCTATCAACACTCGGGATTTTCAATATACCTCCATCAATCAATAAGCCAATTTTAATCTTTTTCTTTTTCAGCCATTTTCTTTTCTGGAGCGTGATTATAAACATAAAAAATACGCGAAGTGTTCAAAGCGCCATCTCAGCTTGTAATGCAGCAAGTTCATCATCTTCCTCAGAGTTCTTTTGAGGCGTCGGTCTTGGTGGTTTACCAGCTGGAACTTGAACTGGTGCCATAGGGGCAGTTATAGCTGGCTGTAGAAGTTGTTCTTCCAACTCAGCTCCTTCAAGTTCTTCAAGCTCGGCTTCCAATTCATCCTTCACATATAATTAAAAAAAAAGTGAGTGTTGGTAAATACTATGGAGTAAATGAGATACAGCAATTCTTGAGATACAGAATTTTCTACAAGTACTTGTGATTATAAAGACTAGAAAGAACCTTTACCTCATCAAAATCAGCTACACCACCAATAGGTGAAGCTAGTGCCTCCTGTATCTGTCTCAAATTATCGGTCTGCTCATTGATCTCATCCATTGTCTTGTCTACATCATCAATGTTCCTGCAACATAAGATGAGCAACTTCCTCAAAACCACAACCACGCCAAAATTTAGAGATAAAAATTGCAGTTCCGCCCAGAATTTCTTTTACTACTGCACCGAATCCCATAATCTATTGCATCTACAGGAAATTGTGTCGTATAAAGGAAAGATCACTAACTAGTTTCAGTTGAAAGCCAATATATTGAATATTGACTATGGAACATCTTCCGACTTGGTTTAAGCTCACTTTGGACAATTTTAAAACTTGAATCTAAATCGAACTAGCTGAGTTGATTTTTTTTTTTTTTTTTTTTTAGAAAAACTAGCTGAGTTGATTATTATTAAAGCATGCCTGAAAAAAAAGCCAGACACTAATTGTTTTAGACAATGGCTCCTAGGCCCCTTAGACATATTAGATCTAGAAATGACAGTAACAATCCCTTATTCAAGACAAGACATTCCCTTAATCATCCATTTACAATTTGCAGAAACCCTGGCCCCATAGAGGTTCGTGGAGATAGATACATCATACCAAATTCCACCCAACCTCAGAAATTAGTGAACTTATAGGTTCTGTCTACTCTATAAACGGTACATCAAACCCAAAAGCCCACAACCTCAATAGCCAGAAAAAAGTTTGAAATGATAACCACCAAAAGCACAAAAACATTTATAGTGAAAATTACTGGATTAACACACATAAATGGGACAGCCAAGATACAGTAAACACAAGTAAGTGCACCCACAGCTTGCTCAGAAAAATCAAGACTCCATTGGCTGGTTAGAGACATAAGATCAATGTAATGAGAGTAAGCAGTGTAACAAAAAATATAGCTAGCCTCGTATTTCATGAAAACATTAGTACCTTCAATCCAACATTGCATCAAAGATCTAATCCACAGTGGGGGCTGAATTTAAAGAAGATCCAGGTTATATCAACAATTATCTTTAACTAAAATTTCAGTCTGTCTTTTGGACAACAGGCTTATTTGTCATAATCCAACCACTTCACGCTTAAGCATAGTGCATATAAAACGATTCCACAGTGAGGTTTAGAGACTTTAGAGTTTAGACCCACCCCAAGAAATAGAAATATAGCTTAACTTTGTAAATAAAAATGAAAATAAGTCGGTCAAGACACAGGCTAGCTCTGACTAAGGTCAGATCAAATCTGGATGTGCGATGTGCCCACATAGTCACACTCAACAGCCTATTCCCTAACCAGCCTCTTTTACCACATAGCTAGGAAAATCAGGGTAATGATAATAAAAATAGAATGGGACAAGCATGGCTATAGCAGATGGCAAGAACAGCTCCTTATAGATTCCTATCCAAACTCTTTTCGAGGGTCGAGTGGGGTGGTTGGGGTGAGGTGGGGAGGAAGAAGGGGATTTGAACTTAACAAATGAAATGCCTTATATAGTTATATCCACCCAGTCCGGTTAAGGAAGCAGTTAGACACAAGCACCAAGCTGACTAGCCAAGCACCATGCTGACTTAGATTGGCACACCTGGCTCTTCATACAAGGTGTGCAAATCTAAATCTAAGATACCTGGGCCAATAAGACTAGCCAAGCTCGGACTGAGCTTTCCCAATGTAAACCTAGTTAGATACTTATGGAATTGATTTCGAGCAGAAATATACTGCTTCGTCACCACTTCGTAATCTAAGGCTAAACAATTCTTCTCAAAAGGGGTAGTTAAAGCGTCAAAGCTCTAACTTGTAAAGTTGAAATGACATTTCACAGGGCATTTGTCCAATCACAAACTTTTTGTTCGCGAGGGAATCGGTAGGGGCATCAGACTTCCTAATAAGTATATAATAAGAGCAAATGGTTGGAGGAATGCTAGAATTCAGATTGAAGGAACCTGGAACTTACGTTGCTTTCTGCATGGCCTTCATAGCACTAGCACCAGATCTTAAAGCGGCAACGGTCTCTGTCGTTGCCTTCGCAGAATCGAGCATTATAATCTGCAAGCCAATAAAGCAACAGAAAATTTTCAAAAATATGGACTAGTTATAGCATGCAACTCAATGAAGCTATATGAACAGTTAAAAAACAATGACCATATAGGACAAGAGAACTGAAACCTTTAAATAGTACAAACATTTATACGCAACACAAAATTTTTGAAGAGTTGTACACAAAGCAGTGGAGAAAGAAGTAAAAAAAGACTGAAAATAATAAGAGAACGTAGCTATGTACTAACCTGATCATGAATTCGCAGTTGAAAATTTCCAACCTGCTCTACTTGCTGTTCATATAACCTTTTCCTCTTTAAACATTGTATGGCAGCTTCATAGAATAGAAGCAATGATGTCAGAGACAAAAAATGCACAGAGCCAAAGACCATCACAAATGAGGGCATGGATGCCATGCTTTAGTCATTGCATAACCAATAGGTTGTGACCAAAAATAAACATTACCAATACATCCTAAAGCTCCAATTCAAAAGTTCAAAGGCATAATGTTAATATGCTCAAATCTTAACTTAATCAGGACTATTCACAGGCCATGAACTCCCAGAAACAAGAACCAATTCTAAAAATGCTAGGCCTAAATTTCAATGACAAACACCACTATATACATATGAGAGACAGCATTGCAGCTATGTAATTAGACAGGATAAAATCAGTAGATTACATAGATAATAATTCAATCTTGAAAAGTACTGAAATTTCCAGGAACATACCTCGTTTATTCTTTGCTCTTGTGAACTCTTTTGCCTTTTCAACCTCTGCAGCAGCCCTTTTCATTAACACCTGCTCTTTCTTCTCTAGCATCTTAAGTGTCTGCAGAAAATAACACAGCAAAAAATTAATCAGCCGAGAGTGCAGAAGGCGCAAAGCAAAGATCAAAGTTCCAAAACATGAAATACTAACTATACATATTCAAGTTTCAATAAGACATGCAAGCAACAATGAGACACAAACTTTTCACACAAACAATCACAACCTTATTGCTTGTAACTTTGGAAGTAGCAAGATAATTCATTCAGATGTTTCAGTATAACATCTGTAGAAGGACTCCTAGGCAAACAAAGAGGTAATACAGTGCATAACACGTTGAATATTGTGATCAAATAAAGGATTATGTTCTCGCATAATCAGCTGCATGTTGCAGAAAGTGAAAGCACTCCCCTCATCCTATAATAAATTTCTGACTTTACCACGAATTTCAATAGTAATTGTTGAATTAAAATTATTAAACCAATAAAAGCGTACGGAGACAAAAAAAAATGATACTTCGTAAAAAAAGATAAATGAATGATGTGAAGAAAGAAGAAAATGGAAAATAATACGAGCGTTAGAGCCAAGTTCTTTGTTGAAAAGACTGGTGGTTCAAAACTTATGACACATATCCTGCATATATTAGAAGCTTGCCCCTCTGATGGAACTCCCCTGATAGGGGCAAGAAAACAAGCATAGAGCAAAGTTCTTGGGAGTACAGAAGACCCCACACCTCTATTCCACCTCTCTTCATAGTGCTTCCCATCCATAAAAACTCAAGAAGGCAAATGTAACATGAAATAAAGTATAAAGCTATAACAATTAACAAAAGGGTATAAGCAATTGAAGTGATCACAAGTCAACCAACAGCTCCATAAATGTTCCAAGATAAACAATTTTCTAATCAAAGTCAGCAAGCTTGTAGAATTTCACAGTTTCAGCTTCGATGAATAATCACAATTGACAATTCCACTACTCAAGCTAAGAATGCCGTAATCACAAGTCTACGTGACTTAAATTAATCAATGTCACTTCATCCCGAATCCTCTCTTTAAAAAGAAGCATAGTCACAACACTACTACTGAAGCTACGAAACACCAGATAGCAACCGCCAACCGGCCGTGTCACCTCGACCCAATGACTCCACAAATAACAAACACAATTCAACCATACATTTCAAAGGAGCACATAATTAGTTCCAAGATCATCCTCTCTAATCAATTTTAAGCTCTTTAATAAATCTTTCAACATCATAATCCCTTATTTCAACACATTTCATCACTATATAACATTAGTTCCTTTCAAATTCATCCACAATAGCATAAAGAGTATAAAAAAATTCTTATACTACATTTGATCAAACAATATTTAACTTTTTTCTGCATAAATTGACAATTTAAGAGCTCAAATTACACAAAATCACAAAATTAAAGAACAAACCTCATCTAATTTCTCCAACGTTGACAAAGTACTCTCAGTATTAGCTGCCTCCCTCGATTTCGCACCAAAAAGCCTCGAAAACACACTTGACGACATTTTAATTTCCCCTAAAACAAATCAAACACAGCAAATTAAATTCCAGAAACCCTAAAAAACCATCAAAGAACATTAAACCCTTACAAAATCAAGAAATTCAAAAAAAAAAAAAAAAAAAAAAAAATTGACGATCAATTCAAAATTGAACAAACCTGAATCACCAGAAAAAAAAAATTGAGATAATAATCAATTAAAAAATCGATCAACTAGATTACGAACAGAAAAATTGGGAGTAAGCGAAGATCGAGAAGAGAGAAAATTGGGATTTAGAGGAGAGAGAAAGTGTAGTTCGTCTCACCCTCTTGTGGGGGGACTTGAAAGTTTCTTCCTTTTGTTATCTTTCTCCGCTAATAAACTGCGTAATTTTTTTTATTTTTGTTTTTTTAATTTTGATTTTGTTGGTGATTTAATTTGGATTTATTTAGGTGAGGAGTGTAATTGTGATATAACTTCGTTAGGAAGTAAGAGGGTGTCGACCACAAGAAAGAGTCGATCAATACAAAAATCATTCCCACCAACATAAAATAGTATCCAAAACAATTGAGATGAGAAATTGGGAGAATGGAAGATGGAAGGAAAGTCCTTGATTTTTGAATGGACACAACATAAATTATCTTTTTCCTCTGTGTGAACATTACTCGTTTTAAATATTGTCTCTGTTTCATATATTTACAACGATTTGACATAAAGTAGAGAGAAAAATATCTAATCATTACAAATAATATAAACGGAGGTAGTATTTAGAAATTAATTGTATACTAAATAGACTATCAAAAAAAGTAGTATTTGATTTAGTGATTAAGAATGTTATTTTATTATCACGAGATCATAAAATCAATACAATTAGAGAAACATTAGGGGTGGGGATTTCATTACCCTCCCAGCCTCCCCACCGACCCTCCCAAGGGGTATTGCCCGAGTAGGTTTGACTTGTGATTATCAGTGTCGATCTAGTAGGGCGTCAGTGCGTCACCACACATTTAAAAAATAATTTGTTAAAAGTCAATTTCAAGTTGACTAAAAAATTTGAAAATATTATTTACTCCGTACTAATTAAGTATGTAATATTATATTTGCACAATCATCTACGATTACTTTTTTTTTCTTGAAAAATGCTCAATCATCTACTTTTCTTTTTTTTTTTTAAAGAAGTCCTAAAGGACATTAAATTTCATTAAATAAAGTCAACGACATCTACAATTGACAATTAACAATAATGAAAACAAATTTAACAAAATCAAACAAGAATTAATCGGGGAAGGGCTAAGAATCCAAATACGTAAATATAACAATTCGACACATTCTCGATTCGTTGTCTCATACAACTTAAAAGTATGAAATAATTAATGACTAATTGTTTCAAAAAAAAATGGCTAATTGACTCAAGAAATGCTAACCTAATATCTATGTCGTTGACTTTTAAAATTTTAATTATTAACAAATATATCAAATTATGGTCCAATACATCTCAATCTTTGTAACCTTATTCTTTCAACAAAAAAAATTAAGAGTTCTACGACGACTATATTGGTAGATAGCTTGTGGAATAAACATACTCATGGTTCGGGATTGGGGTGTTGTACAGAAAAAGAAGAGTTTGGTATTAAGGGAATGTTGGGGGAGCGGCTCACGATTTGGCTCAATCGGCCTTACATGCGGAAATGAAAGTTTGTCTTGAAGGTCTTGAGACGTGGGGAGCAAAACATTTATTGCAAGCTATCACAATTTACACAGACTCTTTTCTCTCGTAAAGAATCTTAGGGAGGAAACTGTAACTGATGTTAGTCTTAGATTGACGGTGAATGATATTCGCTGAACTAGTAACGCCTTTACATAGTGTAGCATCCACAATGTTCAAAGGAAACGAGTTCACAAGGCGCATATCCTTGCTACCAGTCTAGCACGGCTAATAGTAGTTTATCTGAATATTACTCCCAAAGAAAAAATAATTGATCTATCAAATTTGATTAACAATGAACCTTCAACAAATTTGTTTGATCTTGAATTCTTGATTAAAACAATTTGGTACTTCCTCCATTCTTTTTTACTTGACGCGCTTTGGCTTTTACACTATTCATCACCCTTCCTTTGACCGTCTTTTGTAAATAATATGCAATGAAAAATATATTCATGTAAGATCTTTTTGAATTCATCTCAATAAGTACTAACATAATATGTAAATTTTAAAATTTCTACTTATAAAGAATTAAAGTTATTGATCGTTAAAGTTTTGCATTGACAAGCGTGATAAAAGAAACAGGCCAGGTAAAGTAAAAAAGAACAGAGAAAGTATATACATTGTATCGCACCGGCATTATTGTGCGCATAGAAATCAACTAAGATTGAATATTGAATATTACTTTGTATCATATTAATCAGAGTTCTCAACTTTGATCCTTTTTCTTCCAAGCATATGGTTTATATTGTCATTACAATTGCACAGTAATATAAATATTTCAAGAGAAAATATAAGTAGGTTTTCATATCTTTGCTAATTATTAGATATAAGTTCGAATGGAAATTAAAAATTACAATTAACCGGTCATAATTGAACCTTTTATGCGGGAAAATGGCAATCCGAAGTTATAGTACTTAACGGAAATCATGAGCAGCTTAGTCAAACGAAGTATTTGTACATACTACGTGTGTACCTAGCTAGTCTATTTCATACTCCTATGTAGAGTTTATATACAAAGACCTTATTCTTTTGAGTTTCTGGCAAAATACTGCAGATTTCAACAAGACAGAGCAGTTAAAAAGCAGGGCTTTATTCCCTTCTCTACCCAATTCACTCAAATCTCGTGTCTTCGAGTTGTACTAATAAACTGTTATAGACTTTTGAAGTTGCTAACAAGCTATTTATATAATAATCCGATATGTAGCTTAGATGAATTAGATCCAATCATCCAATGACTAGTTTGTACAAAGTAATTAATAATCATACAAATCTTATTTAGACATGTATCAAACTAGGTAGGTACATGGTGCTTTCATCTATATTAATGAAGTGATGACAGGCAAGGCAAGTAGAACCAAGGAGTTGCCGCTATATTATTTAGATTTTGCACCAACAAGGACCTACTACTATCAACTTGAATTTCTTACAAATTATACGATCATCCTATTATAATACATGTACTCATTTCAAAATAAGTCATTATTGAATAATGGAGATAATAGTAAATAGAGGAATGATTAGTCCCTTCATCCCCTCTCCTCTAAGGATGGCAATTCGGGTCAGTGGGTCGGGTTCGGGTTAGATTTCGGGTCGATTTTGGGTTATGCTTAGAAACAATAAAAAATAGTGTAAAACTTAATATTATTACGAAATATGAAATTTTGGTCAAATCGGATTGAATTCGAGTTATTCGGATTTGGATTGGGTCGGGTTTGAGTTTCTCTCAATAACCTTCGGGTCAGGGATTGCCAGCCCTACTCCCCCTAAGTGGTCGAGGATCGGATTCGATACTCATCCTTTTTATTCCTGTGATAGAGTGGGGACCCCGAAAATGATGAGGAATTTTAAAGGGAGGAATATTAGGTATTTAGAAATGCACAACAAGGGGTATTCATGTAATTATACATATACACAAACGAATGCATATTCAGGTATCATTAGATGATTAAATGGTATCATTAAATATACAGTGATACTATATATGCACATAATTGATATTATATATGCATTCGGCTGTACTAAACTTATGCATAAATAGTACCACTGAGAATTGAATGATACTATATAAACTTTCAGTGGAACAATCAACATGTGGCCCCTCATCACGTGATACAATCCGACCAAAAAATGGATGGAGTCCACCTACAAACATCTCTCTTCCTATCTCTCTCCTCTTTTCTCTCTCTACAATATATTTTTAAAATATTTTAATCAATATTATATATTCACGAATGCATAACATTCATCCATTTTCACTTCTTTACAAGAGCAGTCATACATAATAATTGAATAGATTCCACGTCATTTAGAAGCAACGTGTCACTTATACGGCCATCTGTCGTAGCATGCAATTCTACCTTGTTACGCATTATTGCTTACACGAGTTACACTCAGCCACCTTGTTCAGCCTGCCCACTGAGTAATTCTATTTTAAATCCAACCACTCAGTGTTCTATACTCGGATACTCCTACGCAATGCGATCATTCTGTTGTATCAAAACGCGATTATTATTCACTTTATTGATTTAAAACAGTTGTTAGTAATTTTGTACTAAAATGAATACGAAGTATATTTCTTTTGTTATATGATAATCGCACTTAAATAATAAAATATAAATAAATACTAATACTCATACTAGTCTCATACTCTCATAGTCACAAGTCACAACAACAGACAATTCATCAATAAGTATGCAAATAGTGCAACAGACACGTCAAATGTGTCAATAATAGAACGAATGACGTATTTGGATAGTCAATTATGTTTAGGAAAAATCTTATGTGGTTCTTTAACCTTTGTTTCATTTTTTTTTTTTGAAAGAACATATTCATTTGTTTAAGAGATAAAAGAAATATTGGTCTAAGGCCTCATTTAGTTCACCTTATTTTTGCTGAACTTAAATTAATACTGAACTAAAAACTTAAATTATTTTTATTGAAATGAAATTATTTATACTGAACTCAAATTAATTTGTTGAACTAAAATTATTTTACTGATTGTTTTATATTTCTTCTTTGAAATTATTGGTTTTTTGCTGAACTATAATTATTTATATTAAAATGAAATTAATTTTTATTGAACTGAACTTATTTTTATTAAATATTATTTCTTAAAAGTAAATTAAACAGGGCCTAATAGAGTATTCTTCTCACCTTATAAAAAAATCACGGATATGTAATGCATATTCACATTTATTGAACTGAACTGAATTGATGGAGCTGAATTGAACTGAACTTATTGAAATTGAAGTAAAGTGAACTGGAATTAAGCTGAACTGAACAGGCCCGTACTTTATAGCTACTCGTATGATTTAACAACGATATAAACCTGTAATCACCACAGTTTCCCTAAATATCTTCCCTCCTATCATCCTTCAACAACGGAGTAGCAAGCTAAGCAATGACTCAACAAAATGTATACATCTATCTAAAGACTAGATCTAACATTTAAAGGTCAAAACAAAATATGCTATAAAAGTTCAATTATAAAAATGACAACGTTGCAGATGAAATTTTCATGGAAGGACTTATGAATGTTGAAATCACAGTTAAGGACTCTTCGTCCACCTATATAACTAACACCTCATTCATTAGCTTGCCCTATCTTTTTCCATTCCAACTTTTTTCTCACAAAAATTATAAAAAAATAAAAATCTGTGGCATTATTTTGATCAACATGACTATCATCATTGAGCAGCACCCTGATTCTGGTACATTTTTTTTTACCCATCATTTCGAAAAAGAAAAAAAAGAAAAAAAAATTGTGTGTGTGTTTGTTTTTTTTTTTTTTTTTTAGAATATGATTGAAGTTTTAAAGGCCATAATTTTTGTATTTTATGTAGTTAATATTTTTTATTATTTACATTTTTTTTTTATATGTCATCATCACATTAATTAAAACTCCAAAACACTTTACCTTCTAGTCCCAAATAACCGAATTATGTAAGAAAATATTCCTTAGAGATTAAAATTTTTGTTTTCTCTGTATAATACTTACTTGGTAATACTTTGTTGATTCAAAACAGTTTATTATGAGGAGAAGGAAGAATATGTAGTGGCAATAGAAGAAGTACATAAGCCAAATTACTTTTTGGTACCTCAAACCAACTCCTTTGGCCAAACTTTTAGGTACTACTCGTATCATATCATGGAATTTGTTTTAGTATGGAGTGACCCTAGTACTTCGTACCAACTGTTTATGTGTACTTTTCTCTGTCTTTTTTTTTTTTTTTTTTTTTTTTTCCTGTCAAAAAAAAAAAATCAAATTCGAAATTTTAAATGGTACAGTATGCAATTATAAATATTTAGAAAAATATAAAAAGACAATGATTTGACTTTGAATGTAAATGGTTTGGTCAGATTTGATCTTGTGTAATCTAATGATAAGAATTTTATATGATGATAATTGTTACGGAGTATAATTGTATAAATTTATTGTAAAAAGTTTTTTGGGACAAAGAAATCAAATTTAGATCAAATCATATCAAAATTACTTGTATAAAAAAAGAAAAAATAAAATCTTATAATTGGTGAAATGGTGAATAGAACATGTTCTGAGGTGTAACTCAAGAACCTATCCACCCACTACGGATTCATGATTTGAATATAATACGAGGTTTTGTTATCAATTAAGATGATGAGGTTGAGGTTGAGGTGGAGGAGAGTGGTGACATCGTTCCGTACTTGGTTTAGAGATTAAATCTCATGGAGCTCATTTCAAGAATTTATTAATTTCTCTATCTTAAGTTCTTAACCAGGAAAAAAAAAAAAAACCTTATTATACTCCAACTGTAAATGGGCTGGGCCAAACTAATTCACCTGCTGGGCCTAGGTTAATTATAACTAAGGTAGATTTTGAAGTAAATGGCCAATTGGTAGCCCAATAAAAGATCCAACTACTTGTTTTCTGAACAGAGATTATGAGGCTGAAGGTGAAAGGCAACCTGGTGTGGAGAAATTCTACCGGATTAATCACATTTGCCAGTGTGTTGACTTTGTAAGTTCTAAAGAATATAAAGTACATTACAATAACATTCATTTTGCAGTGATGAAATTTAGTTTTTGATGAACTAATTATTTATTTGAAATGTAGGTGAAAAAGATGAGGGAAGAGTATGGAAAACTAGACAAGGTGGAAATGAGCATTTGGGAATGCTGTGAGCTCCTAAACGACGTCGTCGATGAGAGTGATCCTGACTTGGATGAGCCACAAATTGAGCATTTGTTACAATCTGCTGAGGCTATTAGAAAAGATTATCCTAATGAAGATTGGCTTCATCTCACTGCCCTTATTCATGGTAAAACAATAGTTCAATTTTGGATAACAGTGGATTTAATATAGTTTCAAGTAATGTTATTTTAGATAAACAACTCTAAATTGGTGAAATTTTAGATCTTGGTAAGGTTCTCCTACTTCCTAGCTTTGGTGAGCTTCCTCAATGGGCTGTTGTTGGTGATATATTTCCTGTTGGTTGTGCTTTTGACGAGTCGATCGTGCACCACAAGGTGAGTATGCATGCCTAGATGCTTAATGCTAATTTCATTGCATAATGTCAAGGAGTTACAACCGTTTCAGTCTGATTTTTACAGTATTTTGCTCTAAACCCGAACTACGATAACCCAGCTTATAACACAAAGTATGGCATGTACTCCGAAGGATGTGGACTTGAGAATGTGTTAATGTCATTTGGGCATGATGACTACATGTACCTAGTTGCAAAGGAGAACAACACTACTCTACCTTCGGCTGCTCTGTTCATCATACGATATCATTCTTTCTACGGTAGGTTACTCGTGTAACTTGTAGCTTGACGGTAATGAATGGATGTGCAAGTGTGTAACCTTTTGTTGCCTTAGCACTACACACTGCAGGAGCATACAAGTACTTGATGAATGAAGAGGATAAAGAGAACTTGAAATGGCTCCATATATTTAACAAGTATGACCTCTACAGCAAGAGCAAGGAGAGAATTGATGTGGAGAAGGTTAAACCGTACTATCTCTCCCTCATTGAGAAGGTTAGCTTTACACGTAGTCGCGTTTATAGTGTAACTTAAGCTATTAATGTTCGAATATATTCAGATAGAGGTAGTATGTTATGCATGTTTCAATTGATGTACAAACTTCCTGATGATTATGCAGTACTTCCCATCGAAACTAAGATGGTGAAGATGGATCACTCAAGACACTGTACCCAGGGGATGTTCTACTAATCAGGGAAACCCAGACCTAAGTAAGGTGGTTAAGAAATAGTTCTACTATGTAGCTACAGTATGTTCCAGAGGATGTGTTTTAGAGGATGCCTTTGTGGATGATACTTATAAGGAAGCTTTAATGCGTGGTTAAGGACCCTTTTATGTCTTAAATACAAATGTCTTTTAGATGATAATACCATTACCGCCATTTATTACCGCCTCCGCCTTTTGAATGGGTCATATACTCATATGACTTGTGAGGATAAATTATGGATGTTGATGTTCTTCCAACTATCGTTGGCAGATAATGTTCAATCAGAATATGTCCACATTTCTTACAAATAATGAAATCACACTTTACATAGTATCTCAACAAAAACCACATAACTTAGCAATGTGGTGGCTCATAGCTTAGCAAATATTAGTAGCAAGTTTAATGAAAGTCGTATTTGGTTAGAGTACCCTCATGAAATTCATGAGGCTATTTGTAATGATCTTGCTAATTTGATTACTTAATAAAATGCTAAGCATCATTGCTGTAAAAAAAAACCAAAAAAAAAAAAAACAAAAAACAAAAACCTCATAAAAAGTGTTCCCATATATAATCACTCAAATAAGGCTCATAGCAATTATTTCACTATCCAAGCCCCCTCATCGATTAATCTTAATTCTTGACTTCTGCACGTAAAGCTCTTTTACATGAATACCCTAATACGTAGAATAATTCCGAGGGGTAAAAATCAGTTTAACTTTCATGATGGCAGTTTTTAGCAGTATAATGCAAAAACTTGCTCTGAAGTGAGAACAGAGAACCACAGAGCAGCAGAAATTAATACATAGAGCGGGCAGTTCAATCATGTCATGTAACATGATACCTATCGCGCCAAATTTGGGTAATTTGTATGTCATGCTAGATCAGAGTCAATGTTATCTTATATTCTTATCATGTTAAAAGATCAATTACTTAACTAATGACATGTCACTATGCCTACAATTATTAGGAGGAAGAACCAAAATTTGGACAGGTTAAACACTGTGAGGAAGTGAATAAGCGTTCATCATTGAATATTTAACGGTTGACATCTTCACTGAATTGCAAAGAGTACAATCTCATGTCAAAGAACCACAAAAAATTCTGTATTCTGCTTGGACTTGAGAGATATATCAATCATCTCCACAATCAACACATGACTCAAAAGACACCTTTATCTTCTTCATGAATTAGAGAAAAACATCAAAAAATTTATTTCTGCACTTCTCCTTGGAGAATAGATTCATCAACTTTTTTCATGGCGAACAACAGAGTTAATAGCAGCCTAGCAGGATTGAACTTAACAATGAAAAGCATGTGACCAAAGAGGTTACCAGCTCCTTATCATTCCAGAGGACATGCTTTTTCAAATGCTTCCTGCTCTTTGCGGCACATCTCAAATTCATTAGTGTGGTAATACATGCAGTTTCCGTAGGCATCCATCTCCTTTGTGCACTTTTGGTGAAGGTCTTTCAGCCTGCACAGCCAACAGTGTAAAGATCACAAATTCCCAAAATGGGTCTACAATGTTGAACAGAACACCTGAAGGGCTAATCCGCCGAATAAAATTCACTGATTCAAAAATCAAAACAGCATGACAGCAACAAAAATTAGCAAAATATATCAATCTAATTTATTTTTTTTTGAACGGATATATCAATCTAATTGATGATAAATTGTACTACCATATTTAGCACAACCATCAGAACAAAGATGTGTGCACGGTAACAGGACTTGTACAAATATAAACTCTTCTTCCCGCACATGAATTTCCAATTTCACACACAAGAATGGAAAGAAGCCACCAGATATTGAAATTTGGCCCAAGGTTGTTGACATTTCTAGATCATGGGTAGTGAAAAAAACAAGAATGACATAGCTTGCAAGGACAGAAGAACAAACAAAGGATTCAGGCATGACTCCAATGCTAGACGGATAAAAGTAATCTTCCAGTTTTTCTTACTCAGGACAGGACTAATGAATGGGTAATGGAATTTCTGCTACAATTACTGCTGCTCCTTCATTAAACGAAATAGCGGCATGCCACTGTTTTAGTAGTGAAACATGAAGATTGCTACTATTATCTCTCCTTAGTGATAAAATTATTGCAAAACAGAGATCAAATTGAGGTGAGTTTGCGGAGTTTAAGCACCAAATGTGCTGGGGCAAAGAGCAGGACATTCTTACAATGCCAATCATAGAACGGATCTTAGATCTCGCACCAGAAGCAAAGCCCTATGCTGGTGCAGGGAGGGGGGGGGTGGCGAGAAAAGAAAGATATCCAAGGAGAGAAAGTTAGGTTCCCAATGCTCAACAAGATGCGCCAACCTCAAGATGCTCAACTCCATCTCTCTTCATTTCGTTAGTGATTATGCCCCAGCGAGGCACTTTGATGGGTCATATGGAGTTCGGAGTCCTTCTCCAACCCCCTTTCTCTCTCCCTACTCTATGATCTCAGGCTCTTGCTCTCCCTCAATGTCTGTTCCTGAGTAGGAGTTTCGTTTGAGAAGGTGATCAGCCATAAAAAAATAGGGTTAATCATGTGGGTGCTAGACTGTAAAGTGGTGGTCACCAAGGAGAATGTTTTTTCATATTTAAATATAGAAGAATGATATTGGTGACAATGATAAGCATGAGAAGGCAAAACTTCTAGGAAACAACTGCCTAAGGCTTTATAGTAGTTCTTTATTCCTCTGCAAAACAAGACGTTATTTGCTGTAGCAAAAGAATAAAAGGACACTAGTGACCATCATACTGTCCTGGCAATAAGACATGAACTTTACTAGCAAAAGCTTTAGTTTTTATAGACATCAAACAGGAAACAATGAAACCTAGTAAGTCTGGATGAGAATCAGAAGATGATTGGATTTGTTTATCAAATGGGTATCTCTTCCCTGCAGTAGGGGAAGAGTTAAACTCAACTGACACTCCTCTAAAGGATGCCTGCAATCTGCTGAAGGTTGGATTCTTTTGTATGCAGATGCAGGGGCAATTACGAAGCTTTCTTAGATATATGCAAGTTTGAATTACAGGAAGCTCCTCGAGGGCATACCGCTAGTGGCAACCAAAGGCCTGAAGATGCTAGGGGAAATCGCAATAAACAACCAATACTATTACTCCATCCATTTTCCAATAAATGATCACTTCTCTAGTATGGCTTTTTAGAAATGAATGAAACATTCCTTTGTTTCATCCATGGTTTCTCCTACTCCCTTTCCTCATCACATGGACACATTCTCCCATCTATATATATTTCTCTCGTCAATTGTCATCACTTAAAAATTTGTGCCAAATCCTAATGTTTCACTAATTGGCAAATGAGCCGTATCAGAAGATAGTGGATGCCGTTTAGTGGATGCCCCTTATAATTAACAGGTTTAAATGGGTCCTGTTATACCAGTCAAGAATCAAGATTTCATCAAACCTTTAGAAAACTCTAAAGTTTATGAAGTAAATAGTGATTCATAATATAGTTACCGAAAACATATCTAATAACTCCCATAAACCTTATACATTTTCCTGTTAAGGAAGGAACTTCTTATGATAGTTACCTTTTACACTATGTTTGGATAACATTAGTGAAGGGAAAAAGGGGGGGGGGGGTAGAAGAGGTGAGGGAAAGGGAGGTGAGGGGAGGGAAGGGGGAAGGTGAACTTCCATTTTCCTTCCAAATCTTTTCCAATAATGGAGGGATTTGATTTGTTAAAAGGGGAAGGAAAATGGATCCTTCCAATTTCCTCCCCATCCCTTGCATTACATGTCCAAACAAAGGATGATGCATCCTTCCTTTTCTCTTCTCTTCCTTTCCCTACATTTCTCTCTATCCGAACATAGTGTTAAAGTTTGCATAGGCATTGAATCTATTGGAACCCCATGATCCAAAGGCAATGCATTAAGCCCCTCTTATATAGTGCATAATCACACAAAATGCTGGCAAGAGTTTACACAATCAATCAAATCATTGAATGATCCTCAACTTCCAAAACAAGTTGAGAGTTTGTCTAGTTTTTATTAGTTGTCCCCTCACTCCCCTGTGACAAAAAAACATCCTATGCTCAATTTTAAGAGGCGTGTGAGCAATGCAGTCCCTATGAATGAAGGGTGAGAAGTATGGAATAGCATGAAGATGTTCTATGTGGTTAAGCAGCAATTACATGGCAAGGCAAAGACCAAGTAGGAAAATTAAAACAGAAAAAATCCAACCTCTTCTTATAGTTATCAGTCAAAGTGTTTTCTCAACCACGTCTCCATGTCGAACCCATACACATATCATATTAGCAATAATCAACACACCAAGGGCGAAATTGCCATCCTAAAGTAGCACCCACTCGCCAAGCCAAAATATGAGAAGCCCGCTCATTTATAGCTTTTTAATGTCAAAATAATAAATAAAGCATCATAGATCTCTACAGTCAGAAAATCATATTTTTGATGTTTCTTAACCCCGAATCCCCTTTACTGACCATCACCTCAAAAATGGACCACTCTCCTATCTAAAGTATGTATGCTCAATTGCTCATAACTCATGAACTCAGGACCAATAAAGATCTAACCAGCAATATAAAAAATGTTCCCTTGAATATCTCAAAGAAAATAAGCATTTGTCTATTGTCTTCTCCTCCCATCCCAAACATAAGTTCTCATATGCGGAGTATCAAATTTCAAATGACTTATTTTCTCTCTACTTCAGACAATAGTTTGGGCCATTCACTCATCCATATACTCACCATTTTTCACTTTCCTCTATACTTGTGCCAAAAGAAAATTGGGTATAAAATTAGCATGAGGTTAGAATCACGGGCTTAAACTGGGGCTTATAGGGGGTAAAGAACACTGGGATAGAAAGCTGTTAATCTTTTTTCTTTGAATAATTATCTGAAGAAAAGACAATAGTGACACTCTTGCTCACTGCATCATACATTGCCATTGTCAACAAGTAGCATGGGCAATGGGGCTCATCTACAGTCAAATGACTCAAATCAACCCTCTAATAAGAGAATTCATGTTACATACTATGCCAAATGCCGATCATCATAATGCAAAATCTCATTCAAAATTTCAAATCTAATTCATTTCTCGTGTCCAAACTTTCGGGACGTGTGTAATCTCACATCACAATAAATAAGCAGAGGAAAAAGAGAAGAGCTTAGCTTCCTCAAGCAAAAACCACAGCTAAGATAAGCTAAGACTTATACTTCAGATATCTGAATTGATTCAGCAAACAGTAATACAGTACGACAGAATGCTTACCCATTTTCGCCCAAACACTAAGCGATTTCCTAATCCAACCAAAATCATAAAGCATGAAAAACTAAGTGCTACAATACACTTACACACATCACCTAAAACACCGCATTTTTTGAGCAGAAAAACTATCATCTTTTGAAATCACCCGGCTACACTAGTAACACAGCCATTAGCAAAACTACATCTTTTGATCATATAACCCACCCTCGGATTCGCATTCCTTTTGATTCACAATTGACCAATTTCATAAACCCTAAATTACAAATTACAAAAATAAAAAAATATAGAAGAAAACAAACAACCCACAAATCAAATTGCCCCAATCAACCCTAAATCACAGAAAACCGAAACCTTTGCTCAATCAATCAATAAACCCACCACTAATCAATCCCTAATTAGCCAAAAACAAAACATTCTAATTGCAAAAATTTGAAATAAATTAAGAAAAACCCATGAAAAGAAAGAGAAAAAGAGAGAGAATATTACAAGGAAAAGACACAACGAGTGACTTGTTGACCCTTATCGAGGCATTTCTCAGGATTCTGATCTTTCTTCTTGCACTTCAAAAACGCAATGTTTTCATCGCGGCATCTTGTTGATATGTGCTTTGATGCCGCCATTAACACCGCCGATGTGGGAATCGGTTCCTCAACTGATGCATTTGCTGCCATCTGAAATTTGA